CAGGGTATGAAGGTAAATGCCGGCACCGCGGCTCGAAGAGAAAAGTCTTAGGATCCGCGACTAGATTTGTGCTAGTAACCCCTCTAACCCATCCTGAACCGACAAAAACGATGCTCCTAGTGGGGCGACTTTGAGATTTCCGGGTCGCACCCCTCCGACCCCGCAACCCAAGACAACACACCCCTTATGGGTCTGGGGGCGCTTTCTCAATGCCCAAGGAAGCGGGGGAGCTGTGCTCGCTCGTTGAAGGCCCAGGGTATCCCTTTGTAGGTTTGACGGTCTGTATAGGGCCCTCTAACGCCCCTTTCCCACGCCCAATCCCCTTTTAAGTCGGGCTAGAGAAGGGATGTGCTGGGCTTCCTGGGGCTCATAGAAAGGGGTCGTGTAGGAGAAGGTGTCCCCCTTCCGACCCAGTTGAGTAGCGGGCGACCTCCTTTGATTGCTGCTCGGACATCTTGGCTGGGGCGGTGAAAGTTGTCATAAACTTGGGGGCCAAGCATCTCCATCCAAAGTCCCCAATCCCCTACCCTTTGGAGTGGTATCACGGTGCCGTTGGCTAAGAGACTTGCGCTAGGTCACAGAATCCAAGTGGCAGAATGGAAGTTTCATGCAGGCTCCTGGGAAAGCTGGTGCTGCTGCTGCTGCCTGATTCCTGCCGACAGATCTTGGTACCGGGGCCCGCGCTGTCGGCTGGAGATGGCGGACACTAGATCTGTCCATGAAACCAGGTTTGAGGCGGCCGTGAAGGTGATCCAGAGTTTGCCGGAAAATGGTTCATTCCAGCCAACAAATGAAATGATGCTCAAGTTCTATAGCTTCTATAAACAGGCAACTGAAGGACCCTATAAGCTTTCAAGACCTGGATTCTGGGATCCTATTGGAAGATGTAAATGGGATGCTTGGAGTTCTTTGGGTGATATGACCAAGGAAGAAGCCATGATTGCATATGTTGAAGAAATGAAAAAGATTCTTGAAACTATGCCAATGACTGAAAAAGTTGAAGAATTGCTACATGTCATAGGTCCATTTTATGAAATTGTAGAAGACAAAAAGAGTGGAAGGAGTTCTGATTTAACCTCAGATCTTGGTAATGTTCTAACTTCTACTCCAAATGCTAAGACTGTTAATGGTAAAGCTGAAAGCAGTGATAGTGGAGCAGAGTCTGAGGAAGAAGAGGCCCAAGAAGTAAAAGGAGCAGAACAAATGGTAATGCTAAGCAGATGATGAAGAAATCAGATTATAAGAATTTGGAGATTATTATCACGAATGGCTATGATAAAGACAGCTTTGTTCAGGAGATACAAAATGACATTCATGCTAACTCTTCTCCAAGTGACCAAAGTGCTGATGACGTAAAACCTGTTGATAAAAACATGGAACAAACTGAAAAAATTGCTGCCTGCATTCACCAAGATATAAATGATGATCATGTTGAAGATGTTTCAGGAATTCAGCATTTGACAAGTGATTCAGATAGTGAAGTTTACTGTGATTCTATGGAGCAATTTGGACAAGAAGAGTCTTTAGACAGTTTTACATCAAACAATGGACCATTTCAATATTACTTGGGTAGTGATTGCAATCAGCCCTTGGAAAATTCTGGTTTTCCTGAAGATGTCCAAGTATCTCCTGGAAGTGGCAACATTGGAAATATGCAGGTGGTAACAGTTGAAGGAAAAGGTGAAGTAAAGCATGGAGGAGAAGATGGCAGAAATAACAGTGGAGCACCACACCGTGAGAAGCGAGGCGGAGAAAATGAGGAATTCTCTAATGTCAGAAGAGGGAGAGGACATAGGATGCCACATTGGAGCGAAGGAACCAAAGGTGGGCAAGTGGGAAGTGGAGGTGACGGAGAACGCTGGGGCTGAGACAGAGGATCACGAGGCAGCCTCAATGAGCAGATTGCTCTAGTGCTCATGAGATTGCAGGAGGACATGCAGAATGTCCTTCAGAGACTTCAAAAACTGGAAACACTAACTGCTTCACAGGCAAAATCATCAACATTGCAGACTAGTACTCAACCTTCCTCACAAAGACCATCTTGGTGGCCCTTTGAGATGTCTCCTGGTGCATTAACTTTTGCTATTATATGGCCTTTTATTGCCCAGTGGTTGGTGCATTTGTATTATCAAAGAAGGAGAAGAAAACTGAACTGAAGAAAATGATATTTTACTTAAGAAGACTGCTGGGCCTGGATGACCTCAGAATGAAATGGATTGTGGAGTTCACAAGAAAATCTTAATTTGTGATGATTACATTTCTTTTTTGTTGTCCAGTAGTTTGGTTTGTGTACATATATACACACATGTTTTTTGCACTACACAAATGATAACATTTTAAGGACTAATAGTGCTGATACTTGAATAATCAATCTAAACTAGGTTATAAGTAACATATATTGTACCCTACTCTTGAACTTGAAGGACATTAAATTATTGTTTGGTAACATTTACCTGATTATCTTCCATAGAGAAATATAAGCTGCTTCCCAAGGTACAGGTCTGATAATGAGATCGATTTATATAAGTGGGTATTTTTCATTTTCTAAGTTAAATATGAGAAAGAATGTAAACCAAGAATGAGTTTCAAATGAGGGTAAATGGATTTTATATTAGTCACTGAATTGCCATGCCAAGTAGTAGAAACTGTTGGAAGAATCTTCTCCACATTCACTTTGTGGGCTGCACATAATCTTTCTTGAGTAGTCACATCTCAGAGTTAATGTCAGGCATCATTATTAAAAATTATATCCCTTTGTACTAGACTTAGTTTTTACAAATGAGTTACAGATAGACATAACATGATGATGGAAATTATGAAAAATGGGCTTAATGTAATAGATTTAAAAGTTTATTCTGAGCCTACAGATATAACCTATAAGATTTTAATTCAATCTATACATATATTCCTTTCTAATTATTTTTCTTTGAGGATATCTAGTGTATGCTTCATAGGGTGCTTTGAAATATAAAATGAAAACTTATTTATACTGTTTTTACAAAGGTAAAAAAGGAAACACATTAATATCACTTTTCTGCAACTGGTAAACTATACAGACTGGACTCTTTAACCTCTTAGTGCCTCAGTTTTTCCTTGGGGGTATAATATTTGGATATACATACTTCATTAGGGGTATTGGAAGGTTTTGCAAGCTAACAGGCCATATGCTTTTATATGAATAGGCATGTTCAACCAATGAAAATTTAAGTCCCTCTATCCCACATCTCACCTTTTTAGACTAAAAGGAAGACTGTAATTTAGATCCTTGAAGATTTGGAAAATCATTCTTCCTGTATACCTTACAAAACTCTACATTTAGTTAGATGTAGTTTGTGCTTTAAAGATTTCTATGAATCAGAGACTTTGTAACAGATAATTTTGAAGAATTCTGTATTGCAAGATGTTGGGATTAGCATGTGTTCAGAGTGTTTTTAATAAGAGGGAAGAAATTAGTCCAACTTTAATATACAGAGTGGTTCTTTATTTGCCTGAAGAAAAAGTATGAGAATACAATTTGCTTTTCCCAAACTCATGTTCTTATTTCTTCTTTCATATAACTTCATTTTTTTTTAGTTTTTAATCCATCTAGATTTAAACATGTCTAAAAGGATCTACCTTTGCTTAAAAACGACAAAAAAGAAACAACCTATCCTCTACTTATTTAGGAAAAAAATGGAGAAAGTAACTGAATTATATGTAGAAATAAAGTTTAAACTTGTGGATCAGGGATTATTTTAAAAAATTAGATATCAAGTATGAAATCAGAAAATGGTGGCTTTTCTCTTAGTATTTAAATAAATAAAATGCAAATTAAGAAAGTAGGAAATTGAGATTCATTACAAGCAGTCAGGGGTAATTAACTGCTAGGGATAACCATTTGTATCTTATTCCAAAGTCTTTATTTTATAGTATGAAAAGCACTTTGCACACAATTCTTGTATATAAATTAATGATGTAATTATAGGGTATAGTGTTATTGCTTTGTTTAATAAGAATCTCATTTTAAATTGACAGCTATGATATTTTTTTAATGATCAACTTATTTTCTGTTTCTTTATTGTAAATTAAGTTAAAATAAAAGGTTAATGAGAAAAAAAGAAAA